AAAACTGTGGGCATTCTTTCTAAGATCAGATATTATGTACCACGCCCTGCCCTGGTGACTCTCTATTACTCCCTTATCTATCCTTATCTCAACTATGGTATTTGTGCTTGGGGTTCTACTACCCAAAATCACTTACGTCCTCTAATTACCCAACACAAAGCCGCTATTAGAACAATATCCAACTCTGGCCCCAGACATCACTCGGTACCCCTACTCAAATCTCTTAATATGTTAGATATTAAGTCACTGCACATTCTCTCATGTGTATTATACATATATAAAACGCTAAACTATAATGCCAATCCTGATCTTAAAAGCTTCATAGTAGGTTGTAACAGAACCCATGAGCACCACACCAGAAATAAATACAGTTTTGATATTCCTAGAGTACGTCTTAATCAAACTAGAAATGCTCTGCAAATCAAGGGGCCCAGAATGTGGAATGACCTTCCCAACCATGTTAAAGACTGTACCTCTCTCAACCAGTTTAAGATAAAAACTAAACACTACCTAATAAATTCCCTGTAATCTACCTCACTCCTCTATTGTCAACCCATGTCTGTTATTTTTTTTTTTTTTTTTTTTTTTTTTTTAATCAACACTGTTTGTCAACCTATTGTATTTGTGCTGCTTTTTCAGTCATGTTTCCCCCTTTTTTTTATCTTTATTTGTATTTGTTCTCAACATCTTTTATTCTTTATGCTCAATTAGTATTAAGTTCTAGATATTAATGTTTTCTTGCCCGAAACGCATTGCGTAATAGTGGCTTTAGGCATTGTATGTACTAGCTCTATCTATATACCAATCCATTAATGTAACATCACTTGTATGTATATACCTTACCTGAATAAACATCTGAATCTGAATCTGAATCTGAATAAGGAATTGACAGGGTGAGCCAAGACAAATTATTTAACACGGGTGGAACACGAACAAGGGGACACAGGTGGACACTGAGTACCCAAATGAGCCCCAGAGACGTACCTTGAGGTTACCTTGAGGTGCTTCCGGGGCTTAGCGTCCCCGCGGCCCGGTCGTCGACCAGGCCTCCTGGTTGCTGGACTGATCAACCAGGACATTACCACACATCTGTGCCAGGTGAGTACGACGGGCTCCTATGGGGTCAGGATAAGGATTTGGGATGGAACGGGGAGAAAGGAATGGTGCCCAACCACTTATGTGGACGGTCGGGGGATTGAACGCGGACTTGCATGAAGCGAGACCGTCTCTCTACCCTTCAACCCAAGTGATCCAAGTTCATATATAACAAAGAATGATCAACCTTACCTAGAACAATATTGTAGTTGATGGTGACGGCCGGATGGTCCTCGGCGTTCCTTTAAAGGGTAAAACATGTCTCACTTGCCGGTGGAAACTAACGCGCCTCCCGGCTACAGAACACACAGGTAGGCAGGTGTTTGGGGAGCCCCTGGGGTGCCCCTGGAAGGCAAGCACCTGCCCCTACCCCACACACACAACACTGGCCAATATAACAATGTTGAGGCAAAAACATGGTCCGCTCCACCTAAACTTTTACCCAAATGAGCTAATGCACAACACTTTTCCAGCTATCTTCGGCAGAGTAGGGGTCAGCACGCCCTGAGGGCACACCAGGAGCCTGTAGCACGCTCTGAGGGCACACCAGGAGCCTGCAGCACGCTCTGAGGGCACACCAGGAGCCTGCAGCACGCCCTGAGGGCACACCAGGAGCCTCCAGCACGCCCTGAGGGCACACCAGGAGCCTCCAGCACGCCCTGAGGGCACACCAAGTGCCTGCAGCACGCCCTGAGGGCACACCAGGAGCCTCCAGCACGCCCTGAGGGCACACCAGGAGCCTCCAGCACGCCCTGAGGGCACACCAGGAGCCTCCAGCACGCCCTGAGGGCACACCAGGAGCCTGCAATACGCCCTGAGGGCACACCAGGAGCCTCCAGCACGCCCTGAGGGCACACCAGGAGCCTCCAGCACGCCCTGAGGGCACACCAGGAGCCTCCAGCACGCCCTGAGGGCACACCAAGAGCCTACAGCACGCCCTGAGGGCACACCAGGAGCCTCCAGCACGCCCTGAGGGCACACCAGGAGCCTGCAGCACGCCCTGAGGGCACACCAGGAGCCTCCAGCACGCCCTGAGGGCACACCAGGAGCCTCCAGCACGCCCTGAGGGCACACCAGGAGCCTGCAGCACGCCCTGAGGGCACACCAGGAGCCTCCAGCACGCCCTGAGGGCACACCAGGAGCCTGCAGCACGCCCTGAGGGCACACCAGGAGCCTCCAGCACGCCCTGAGGGCACACCAGGAGCCTCCAGCACGCCCTGAGGGCACACCAGGAGCCTGCAGCACGCTCTGAGGGCACACCAGGAGCCTGCAGCACGCCCTGAGGGCACACCAGGAGCCTCCAGCACGCCCTGAGGGCACACCAGGAGCTTGCAGCACGCCCTGAGGCCACACCAGGAGCTCAGCACGCCCTGAGGGCACACCAGGAGCCTGTAGCACGCCCTGAGGCCCCACTACGCCCTGGGGGCACACCAGGAGCCTGTAGCACGCTCTGAGGGCACACCAGGAGCCTCCAGCACGTCCTGAGGGCACACCAGGAGCCTCCAGCACGCCCTGAGGGCACACCAGGAGCCTCCAGCACGCCCTGAGGGCACGCCAAGTGCCTGCAGCACGCCCTGAGGGCACACCAGGAGCCTCCAGCACGCCCTGAGGGCACACCAGGAGCCTCCAGCACGCCCTGAGGGCACACCAGGAGCCTCCAGCACGCCCTGAGGGCACACCAGGAGCCTCCAGCACGCCCTGAGGGCACACCAGGAGCCTCCAGCACGCCCTGAGGGCACACCAACCCCGGCACCTCTCGGCCAAGACACACCGTCTCTTCCCTTGAAGAACCAAGCACAAAAACACATAAGCTATCCAACGTATAGCTTCGCTGTCGCCCCCGGCGTCGTATCAGTTGAGACCGTTGAACAGAAATGCCTGACGACAGCGTCAAGACCCAAAATGGGCGAAAAAATAAAATTGTCACGTGTCCCGGCCGGAGCAGACGTCCACTCGCTGCCAAGGTTGAACCAGGAGTCCGTCGTCCTCGTTCCGTGGCAGCTGTCGTTAACGTGTTGCTATTAATTAGGTTAAATTGCTATTAGTTTAACACACGAGTATTCTGCTTGTTTGTTAATTATATTTTATGCCAATATATGCATAACTACTACGGGCTCACTTTAGCCCGTGCTGCTTGGAGCTTTTTGTTCCAAGTAGCGAATCTTAAACAACAGCCAATATATGTACCGGCAAAATTTACTATCAGATGACTGACGCGAATTATTTACAGAAAGAAAAATATTTGTATATATGCTTCTTTATAGTACTGTAGTTTCCTGTGTATTCCAACTAATATTAAATGAAGAAAAGTGTAGATGTAAACTGAGTGGGTCCAGAAATTACACAAGACCCAAGGAAGGTCATATATAGCCTCTTACTAAAATAACCTTTGGTGCGTTCTTTTGGTAATGAATTATTTAACCGATTTATTTGCGATTCTGTAGGATGTAGACATTTACCTGAGCACCACAATGAAATCCATGAGATATCCATTTGTAAAGATATTTTACAAGAATGTAAAACTTAAAGTCTCTGTGCTCTAATAAACCCAATGTACCTTCTTGTATATAAATAAGTTTTCTTCACTGTCGTTACCACCGACAGTGAAGAAAAACATAAGAAATATTGAGAAGATTCGTGTTAGAATTATTAATCTTACCTTTTCGGTCATATTCAACAACATATGTTTACAAGAAAGACTGCTACTAAAATATACTAGTATATAAATGAATGAATAAATAAATAAATAAATCAAATCAATCAATCCAGGAACCTCAACTCCGCAACAGGAACAGTACCTGTCTTAACCTGGATCACTGGGAACGCCTCAAAGCGAATTACAACTTTTGGAGGGAAGGCCAATTAAATGAATGTCTATGAATTTTGTAAATTCTTGTTGTAAATTTGTATGTCGCCTTGTCACTTTTTTTTTCTTGACATTCTAATGCCTCAAGTTTTTCTTAGCACGTGTTTTACATATCCAGGAGTCATTTAATAACTTGTCTTCAGACTTACTAGTTAATTGGTGTGCTTTTTTCAGATATAGTCACTATACAACTAATTCCTGTATAATCTAATTTAGGCCTTTTTTTTAATTTTTTGTAAGCATTTCTGCTCAATTTAAATGCAATTCTGAAATTGCCAAGCACAGCATAAGTTCCTCTTGTCATATCCCCAACTAGTCTTCAGGCGAGTTTACCAATTGTTAACACTTCTGGATCTCTTTCCTTACGCAATTTTTTTTCCACAATTTGTAAAAAAAGTCAAATTTGCAGTCTCTGTGGCGCAGTGGTAAAACGCTTGCCAGTGTTTCGTGAGCACTTTGGCCTGGGTTCGTATCCTGGCTGGGGAGTGGTCGATTGACTGGGAACCAATCCTTACCTACAGCCTCTATTCTCCCAGCATGGATGTTAAATGATTTAGCGGGTCGTATCCCAGAGAAACAACTTCGATCAAAGACCTGCCCGAAACGCTATGCATGGCAGTGGCTGTACAAGAATGTAAGAACAAGCGTGTGCGTGCGCGCGTGTGTATGTATGTGTGTGTGTATATATATATATATATATATATATATATATATATATATATATATATATATATATATATATATATATATATATATATATATATATATATATATATATATATATATACAGTATTACTTGATATTGAAAGATTTTATGAATTATTTATGCATTATTCATATATTTGTATCCTGTTACTTCATATTAACAATTTAATTTTATTTGACAAACCAGAATAAAATGGCAAAAGAAGATGACCAAACTGGAAAATGAAGAGCATTTTCCAAACAAGGTTATCTAGTAATTATGCTTTTATTTATTATTGAACCATTATATTTAATTCAAGGATGCATGTACCGATAACAAAATTAAAACACGGAATATAATAAGTGTGTATTTAAGAAGTTATTTAATTTGAGACCAACAGACATGAGAGTACCTTTAAGAATCTAGTTACACTAAATCCACGAATGTTTGAGAAATGTCAAATTCATTGTCATATTTTGTACTGCTGGAACAACTTGTGTAAACATATACATTTGTAAACTATATGTAAATTATAACATACAATTTATTACTCAAGAAGTTGAGGATATAATGTCCTTTCAATGTAAATCATAATATTTAAACAAATATTTTGATAATCATGTACAGTACTTTTAATTGAAGTTCGGGATGATGGACTTTTACAAATCGTTCAATGCTCACCAAGGTTGGTGCATATACTGTACCTCCAAGAAACAAAACAATTGAGAACAGTGACAATTTATGGTGCACAAAGTTTGCCGAATATACTTTAAAAACAATCTTAATGTTGTAACAACTTACTAAAAGACAAAAATTAATTGCTCAGGCCATGAATAAGACTTGAGCCTTATCACAGATATCAAGGAACATTCCTTAATTTAGAATTGTAAATTTGTATGTCAGTATACTTTCTTATAATCATTCCAAAATTGATTTAATCATTTTTCCTATAACAAAAAATATCCATTTCCTATACAACAGTTACAATTTTACATACAAATATTTTCTGTCAAAATTTATATATTAAATCCATTTATCAAATGTTTCGTGAATCACTCAGCGAGACCACCTGCTTGATGACTCTGTTCTTTCCAAGTCGAGAATGAGGAACTCCACATGCAAATCACTAACCTTTGGATCCATTAATGAGAATCACGTGATACAATCCACTAACGAAGGTCCCTAGATTCATCAGTTTCCAAAAATTTGAATATTTTTGTAAATACACACATTGCTCACCAATTCAAATCTCCAGGTAACTTTGCCAAAATCATGACAAATTAATCCTGATTGATGAAATCCAAATTATGAAGCTTAGCTGTCATGTTACTAATGTACAGCAGCCCATGGTTACAAATATGCAATGATAATAAATGATAAATAAATAAACGAGGGTTATTAAATGATAACAGGGGTTCAGTCCTTAAGGAAAGATGGACTGTTGGGCAAATTTCCTTTCACTTTATGTTTCATTTTACTTAGTAGTACAAAGGTACTCGGGAAGTTAAGTAACTGTTATGGGTGCATCCTGGGGAAGGTCAGTAATTGGCTAACGAGCCCTTGATATACCTAATGGGCTTCCTCTCCTCAACAATGGGGAATTGAATCCCTGCCCGAAACGCTTTGCGTAATAGTGGCTTTAGGCATTGTATGTACCAGCTCTATCTATAAATCTATCAATTTTTGTAAAATCTCTTGTATGTATGTACCTTACCTGAATAAACATTTATTTATAACATTTATTTAATTAACCAATACGTGACAAGTGATCAAAATTATATCAATATAAATTTTTGTGGCTAGATTTGCTTGTATTTCCTACCCGAGGTAACAGGACCCATTGCAACCCTATGAGCTAGGCAAGTCTTCTGCCTTCTCATGTGATACAAATTGAGAACACATATGTATCAGTGTTACTTTCATTTTTTTTAACAAAGTTGTTTTAATTAATATGTATAGGAACAGCAACAATCAACCTGAATGTGCTAATGGTCCCGAATTATGACACGAGGATGAGGATGAGATTGTTCAAAGGGTTAATGGCAGTGTGGGGAAAAGACAAGGAAGTTACACTAGGATTTTCCAGTTAAGAGTCATAAAATGAGTGGAATGAACAAGATGAGAAAGTTGTTTTGATGTAATTTTGATAGATTTAGATGTAAATTAGTAGAAATAAGTGAAGAGTCACTGCATTCAACTAATTATGGCTGAAAGGTAAGGCATTCAACCATGAGCTTGGCCTTGCAAAATTAGTAGAGTACAAGTATTGATACTTCCATTATCTTCATCATCATTATCTGAAATTCTGTGTGTTGGAAGTTTATAACCATACTAGGCAGGGCAAAGCTGATTGTCAAAGAGGCCAATGAAAAATTACAGCCCCAAAAACACACATTGGGGAAGATTTGAATGCCAAGGACCTTAAACCAGCAAAGCCTTAGCATCTGGAAGTCAAAAAATGAGTTTGCCAATTACATACTTACAGAAATTTATGGTTAGGTTAAATTAAGCTGCTAAGAGAACTATCAATATACAGCTCTATTGTGTACTAAGTTTCTGTACTGTAAAGTACTGTATAGTGTCTTTGAAGAAGCTGCCATAAAAATTAAATGATTAATTTATGTGGCAGTACAGTATAAGTTTTGTGCATAACTCTGATGAGGGACTGACCCATATGACCTGAATTAGTGAGCAATCTCTCTATTTAGTTCTACAATGGCCCACAAACAAAACAATTTTTTTTTAAGGGTCCATCATGAAGCCTCTGAAATTTCTACTGGAAATAACTCCCTTTTGTTTCCTTTTGCTAAATTAAATTTTTTTTTACAATAGTTCAAAATATTAAAAAATCAAGTTCCACTCTCAAAATTCTCACCTACTTATCATAAATTTAAATTCTTTAATAATTACACTGTGGTCATAATACAAACCAAAATTAAAATGGAAAACTTTGCATTAAATTGTAAATGACCAAAGAACAAAACATCACGAAGTATACATTTTGGAATGGGGAGTTTCTGGTTAGATCATTTTCTGACAGCGATTGATTAAATGTGCTGTGATCCAATGAAAGTTTCCCTCTCCTGTGTGATCTCTTATTTCTACAAAATATCCACTTAAGATTTCAGTATTCTGTGGAATAAATATTATTGGAATATGAAAAGAAAGTCATCTGGTATCTACATACCATATATGCATGCTTAATTGGTATATATATATATATATATATATATATATTAATTCTCTTTCTGTGTACTTGTACTTTCAAACCATGTTGCTGCAAAATGCAGAACTAGTCTGGTATAAATCAGTTGTATTTCACATGCTAAACTAAACTAAAGAGAACTAAATGTACACGGGGGGCTTCATTAATACTTGTCGTTCTCCTCCTGCAAATAAGTCATTAAATTCGAACATACATGTCAGTTCATTCATACATTGAAAAATTATTTATGAAAGTTCAGTCTTCCGGAAACGCATACATTACACGGATACAAAACTTGCGTTGCAGTGCATAAACACCCAACAGATGCTGCTGTATATTAACATGAGAAAATAAGTGGAATACTATCAACAGACAGAACCACACTTCTGTAAGTTTTGTTTCACTCAATGATTTAACCTCAAATTTTCATCCATGTTTCGATTTTTTTTTGGGGGGGGGAGGGAGGGGTAACATCAGACTTTTGAATAATAATCAAAAGTAGCATAACTGAGTGTATCAAAAGATTCTCTTCATAAAGGCTTATACAGAGTTAATTGGTAATTGATAATTGTTGTATTAATAATGTTAAATAAATGAATACACCAGATAAATATAAGATAGCATTTTCTTTTAATTTCACCAAGACTTACAACAGGCCTATATGTTTTAGTGGCATCAAAACAATACCTTAATGTCCAGCCTACCATTTTTTAGCTTCACATTTACAACTTGTATGTGCTGATGCACCTTTCCATTATTTATATATATATTACTCAACACATTTACCAATATTTGCACATAGATATGCACTTTCCTGAGAGTAGCCCTAAGCTACTCTATCCTTTTGAGATGTACTTCCTTTTTCTCAATAAACGTACTTGAACTTGAACAAAATTAAAACACAGGTTACAAATTTAAAGAAAAACATTGTGCCAAAATTTAAGATTAGTCTTCAGTAAATTAATATTAAAGAAATTTGATCTGCATCATATATTTCAAATTTCTAATTATGAAATGAGTGGTTTACGATCATCTCATATGAATTACTGTTTGTTATCCAAGGTTAAAATAATTTGATGTATTTTAGCTCATAATACAGCTACTTTTGAAAGTTAACATAAATATACACAAAGTTTCTTATTTCAATATTTTTTTTTTTACATTTCATAACTGATTTTTCAGTATTAAAAAAAATTGGGCTGTGGATGAAGCAAAATAAACCATTCATGTTGGTAGTTATAGGCCTAACTTTAAATACAATCAAAGTTTATGGCTGTGTACTTCCTCAATGGCTTTATTATGCAGTTCATGATATGAAGTACTTTATATAATTAATTGTAAAACAGCCTAAATGTAATAATTATACAATGTATAAAAAAATTGCAACATTATAAGTTTTTTTTTAATTTGAATAAGAAATAATAATCAATATGGCAACAAGCATTCATGACACACTTAGACATTATATCTGCAGACCGACATTTGGTCCCTGAGCTTAAATCTCCCAAAAAAGGTTAACCATCTTGGAAATGTACACTTAACGACTCTGAAAATACAGATTTGTTTTGATGTGGGCAATGCAATATCAAAATACAGTACAATGAAAACTAAAGTGCTTGACTAGTTACTTTCAATAGATCAGAAATACATGTACACTACTGTATTCATTGTAACAGCACGTGAATGAGAGTTTAACAAACAGATGTTGCATTGGAGCTGATGAGTCACAATAACGTGGCTGAAGTATGTTGACCAATCCACACACTAGAAAATGAAGGGATGACAACGTTTCGTCTATCCTGGACCATTCTCAAGTCGACCATTCTCACAATCGACTTGAGAATGGTCCAGGACGGACCGAAACATCGTCATCCCTTCATTTTCTAGTGTGGATTGATCAACAGATGTTGCATTGTTTGTTAAGAAACAAGAGCAAGGTCTAATGAAATCACGTCAAGTGTAACAATTTCACTGATGTGCCGATACCACAACTTATGGAAACTGACCATTCTGAGTTAATCACATTTTCATTTAAACCAAAATAAATTTATGTATTTACAGATTTAAAGTGCCTAAATAACTAAATTAACCAAATTGGTAAATTATATAAACAAAAAACTTAAAAAATATAAATATACATGACCAAAACAGAAATAAATCCTTAAACAAGTTTTGTACACGAGGCCTGCCTCCCTACTTATATCACAGGTAAAAACAGCCTCATTCAAGTATTGTTAACTGATTTAGTCATGTTTATCCCCAAAATAATCAGCCTCAATATATATAATCTTCCTAGATAGCAGGCATCAGGGTGTGTCTGATAATCACATGTCGATCTGTAGGGGAGCAAAATTTCACAGTTGTCTTTTCGAATGTTGCGAAGAATTCATACAAGCAAAAAGTTTCTATTTTCTCTTGAGACAGGGATCAATATATATATATTTTTTTTTTGCCACTGGATTTAAACAAATTAATTTATTGTATACAATATTTTCATGTTTCATCAATATTTAAACTGTGCCCTGTAACCATAATATATTACAGTATGCTACAATATATAGAAAACTAACTTCTGATAAAAATTTACACATTACTCTACAGTGTGGCAATGCATTTGGCGCTATTGGTGGCAGAACAAACAAACTTTTACATTAACAAACAATTTTCACTTCTAATAATTTTAAGTTATAGTATAAGTTTTATATTTTTAAAATAATGCGAAAAATATTGTCCTCATTTTATGCCAAAGTGCACAGTACAGTATATACAATGTTTATATTGTTTTCATGCAATTCAAATATTATATAACTGACAAAACAATGTATTAAAATTTAACATAAATATTTAAAACAAGTTATATTAAAACTGTTTTTCTAGGTACAAGACTTTGAAGGGGGTGAAAGAACAACTTGAAGCGCTGCAGGAAATCCCATCTGTCTAAGTCCAACAGCAAATAACAAACCAGTCATTATACTACTGTTGTCACTGCAGACATTGCTAAGCCTTTGCTGCAGTTGCTTGCAAGACCTAGCTTGTGATTACTGCAACTGCTGGTAATGATGGCTTATGGAATGATAAGGTGACCAATTGAGTTTGCCCTTCAGGCATCGGGCATGACATCTGTGGGAACGACCTGCAGGATCAGCTGGAGGATGGTTGTCAAGTGGCCTGGTGGGGCAAAATAGGGTTGTAAGCACTTCTTTATTCCAAAATGGAGGAATTATTATTTGTAATTATTATAATACAACCTACAAAATCTGGACTTACGTATAACGGATCCTTCTAAATAACCGATTATACCCCACCCACTGGATTTTCCATCTGTATATCAGTTTTTATGCCACACAAAACCACATTTGAACATATGGATAGGTACTCTCTCTCTCTCCTCCGTATTGCCTTTGATATTGCATTTCATATTGTCAATTTCATATACCAGCGACTTCTAGCACTTCTCCATTCATGCTAATTTTACAATATCCTTCTCTATCTTAAGTTCACTATTGTTTAAAAGTCACCTTTTTTTAGACACACACACACACACCCTCAATAGACACTACTGAAAGCTAAAACATCCATTATTAAGCATGCATGCATATTATATATACGCGCCCGTGTCGCGTCAGACTAGAAATAATATATATATGTACGAAAGATTGAGAAAATTCGTGTTAGAATCAATATACTTTTTCGGTCATATTATATATATATATATATATATATATATATACTGTATATAAAATTATGCATGCTTGTCACGAACATTGGTACTGCTTGTGCAAAAACAATGCCCGTGTGTTTGGAAAATGCAAATGCAGTCTTGGATATATCACAAATAGCTTAAAAATAATATTTACCCATGCCAGGGACACTCTTCTTCATGTAAACAAAAGGGAAGTAGAAGATTAGGCCCGCAACGATGAAGAGGGAAGCGTAGAGATATTCAATCTGTGGAGAGTCAATGATGGGGCCCACGACAAGGTACACCGAGATGATCAATACCAAGATTGGGATGACGATGGGTACCTGTTCCATTGACAACACTCATTGCAAGAAACAATACATTGTTGTACAATACAATTATCTTCAAACATATCATATTCTTCAGTGTAAATAAACAATTTCATTGGACTGCTTTCAGTATACTGTATATTAGTTTCTCAAAAATAATACTTGGTAAGTGTACTGTCAAGTTAAATTTTTATATAATAAAATTTGACTGTTTTCAACAGCACAGAATCTGAAGCTAAAATTATATAGCTGTTTGTTTCAGCAATCATCAAAATATTCATTACATTGTTAGAGTGATATCGGTGTAAAGTAGATGCAACAATGCTGTACCTTGTATGGACGTGGGGCATCTTTCATGGTGTATCGCATGATGATGAGAGCTGCCATAGCACCCCCATAGAAGATCCAGGCAGTGAAGCTGAAGAAGTCGATGAGAGAGCCGATATCCGAAGGAATAACCATTATCAGAGCAATAGATGCCTGAGGAAACACAATTGCTCTCAACTAGATGTATATGAATGTATCTAAAATAAACTGATCCTTCTGCTTACATCAAAAGTATTATTAATCATCTTGAAATACTGTACTGTACATCAAAATACTGAATGCTGAAAAATGATTCAATTCCTGCATCATTTACACTAAATCATAAAGGTAAAAGGTTAGATTTCCTTCAAAGATCGTGTGACAATTATACAGGTGATTGTCTCGATAAGAATCTAAAAAATATTACAATTTGGAATGGCAGAGAAATTCCAAATTAGACAAAAAAAATGTGAAGAAAAAACCCGAAACCCATGTCTGCCTGAAATGCTGTGCGTGTTGGTGGCTTTGCAAGGCTAAAAATATCAATCTCATGTAATCTCGCAAACCCATTGTACCTTTTTGTAAATACAAATTACAGTATTATTATATTATCATAAAAGTATAGCAAAGTATGATAACCAAACCACATATCAGAAGACGAAGCGACGAAGTTTTTGTCCATCCTCAACCCTTATCAAGTCGATTGTGATGATGATCGACCTGATCATCAGGACGGACCAAAACGTTGTCGTTTCTCCATCTTTTGGTGTGTGGTTTGGTTATTGTATCTTCAGCCAACGTTATTGTAACTCATTGTCTGCATATAGCAAAGTACTTTACTGAATGATTAATGAGGTGGCCGAGGAAAAATAAAAACGATTACTGTGTTTAGGGAAAGTCTGAGCATAAACAGAGGGCAGGGTTTGCTAGTAAATATCACAGGTACAGAGGAGCTAGTGAGGGAAAGGCACCCACCATACTAAAAGAATTGTTACAGAGTTCTCGTCACATTTAACAGACACTACATTTCCCTTCTAAAGCCATCCATGTTGTCTGTTACAAATTATCTTTAAATCAACTAATTGCTCCCTTGATCATTTGCTCCAGTACTTTGCATGGAATGAGTTAAGAAGAATGGTCTGTAGTTGAGCCACTACATTCCTGTCCCGGTCAAGGCAAACTATTGATAATAGCATTGAGGCAAATCCCAAGACTGAATGCTATACACAATACACTTAATACCTCATTATAATGGAAGCTGGATTAGTGGGAATCTTGATAAGTCTAGTGCATTAAGATCTGGTAAGGATATGGATGTAATAGATTGTGTATCCGGACATGCTCGATAATCTAAATTGGCCATGCCAAAATTTGAATGTTGTAAAAAAAAAAAAAAAAAGATTGATTTTACATTAAAAATGTACTCTCATTCTCCTTGTGATTTTATTGCTAAGTTATAGAAAAAATTACATGTATCACTTGCACTAATACAAGTAAAGCCCAGTTAGTATGAAAAGCTTCTTTATAAGCACATTCAGCTGATCTCTCGTGCAAGATCTTACAGGGCACTTGGACATGGCGGCATCTAGTCAAGCAGCGGCAACATACAGTAGGTCACTGAAAAAAAAAAGACATCCCAGCAAGCATCGTATTGCAGCGAGTTTGTTGCTGGAGAATTTAAACGCTCCAGCCCAGAAATGACAAGAGGTAAATCCTTACAGGATCAAAGCCATGACAAGCTCGTACTTGGCAATACAATTGACTGACAAATGAGGGATCTAACTGCTACCCACCGAGATCAAGGGCTTGAGTGCAGCAGCAGTAATCTATGAACCATAGATGTTGAACACCTGAGGGTGAACCAACCCTGAGCCTAACATTGTTGATAAACGCTACACGTGCTAGTGGCTGAACAAGAATGTAACAACTCTTGTATATATAAATAAATAAATGTAGGATGAAGAAAAAGGGCAATGCAAATAGACTATGAAGAGTCAATACAAAGTAGATGTACACAATTGATGAAATCCTTCTTAAAACACTTACATTAAACAGAAGAGCTGGAGAAGGCGTAAGTTTCCTAGCATGGACATATGACAGGACATCTACCATGTGTCCCTCTCGTGCTGCCACAAAGCATAACCTACAGATATGCAAACATTATGAATAACAAGATATGGGAAAATCATTGTCGAGTAGTCACACGACACCATAATGGCACGACGACTGGCCTACATTAATGCAAACACAGGCCTACTCCAGTTACAATATTCTGTTATTTGTGAATTTGTTGACCAAGGATAATGGGTATCTACAGCAGACTAATGTACATTGCACAGTGAATTATATAAGCATTAAAAATAATATCTGCTTTGAATTATAATGTTCCAGCACTTTGACTACATCTTTAATCAAATTTAAGGACAGAATTTGTAATCTAAACATTTACATTTAATTGTATCATGACAATGTTTTGTCAACATTTAATCTGGTATTAGGTTATTGAAGTTACTGGAATTATTCTTAATAAAATGACAGCACTTTTATTAATGAAAACTAATCAACAGCCACCATGTGGATAAATTCAGTCAACAATTAATCACTGTATTTCGTACACCCTGACATCTACCACAAGCTGTAAAACATTACTAATTTACAACTGCAGTCCATGTAAGCTTCCTGATATCTGACCTCACACCAATATTGCACTTGCTCCATCTACTTACAGTGTCTACAGCTGTTGGAAGACAATGATCAAGTCTTGACCAAATCAAAAGTCTGATATCTTTACTAGTTATAAACAGATATTGTAGATGCTCGCTACATATTTTGTAAACAAGAATATGCAAGATAATGTAAAGCTGAAATTGTTCTAGAAATATTACTAATTATATGTTGTTCACATAATTTATAATTATATTTTCACAATGTATAATTACATATTCACAACATATAATTATACATTGTTCACATACAGTGTACTAGGACATACAAATATATATATATATATATATATGTACAAATTATAAACAGGCAAATTTTTTTAAGGTGTTAAATACCAATTAATACATGCACAGAGTGTAAATAATGTACTGTATAATGTACATATGAAATATTAACATGCAGAAAAGGTTTAAGGTAAATGGCAATTTACACATGCACTAGTTTTACATAAAGCTGTATGCAAATGATTAAGCACATATATAACCCAAGCACAATAAAAACAATAGAAAAAGAAGCTTTTACAACTAAAAAACATACTGTACTGCAATATAACGATACTAAAAATAAAAACAGAAGAGTCTTGTAGATAATTACAGGCACACGCACTCGACACGCATCAAAACAAACTCAAACTGGAGAACAAAATATCAATTTCACTGCAAAAAATAAAACATCTCTACAGCAAAGGCTATAAATGGCACCATAAAATCCAATTTCATCATCCAGAGCTACGGAGAAATAAAACCCTTCACATAACCGACAACTTAACAACACAGCTTCATAACCACAACGGGGAACTACAGCAGAGTACTGTGAAAAAACACACTTCTGTAGTTACAAGGCACATTACACCATACTGTAATATCAAATACACATTTCATCAAACTGCGTTTAGTTTTTTTTTTACATATTAAGGAGGGAGGCAAGACCGAATTTTTGTAGTTTATCATGCTGAATAACCCTTTGTTGCAGTGTGTGGTCATAAACTTTTATAACTACCAGTTTTCTGGTCTGTCAGTTCCGAGGTGTATGAATACCACATTTTATATTTGAGACTGTCCAGAACAGCATTTGGTTTATCTCAACATGCCTTTTTACCAGTCTTTCTGCTGTAGAGAATGCATCTTCTCACTTTGCCCTCCGTGTTCTAAGAATGATTCTTGCTATGAAGCAACATACATTACTGCATGTGGGTGCTTCAGCTTCCCCCCCCCCCCTCCTCAAGAGTTATGACCTCTTTTTTTTATCCTTGCTATTGACCTTTCAGTTCTTCACTGATCTGTTGACCCCACAAAGTGGTATCTCTACTTCCACCTCATCACACTTCATAAAATATTACATATACTGCACTACAGTATACATTTCAATGGCCATTCCTAACTCGAAAAATACATAAATAAAAAGCAGAGAGCATTTTTTCTCATTTTAAACTTTTTTCAAAAATTTCTCTACCAAAGAACATGCTTGACATGCATTCTTCACGTTGTTTATTACCATTAAGCTCGTACTTCAACATTTATAACACTCACTTTTTAAAACCCGTGTCGCTCAGTTGTGCCATCATTGCATCCACCTAAGCCTGGGGAACATTAGTTTCCAGTCTTACTCTTTCATACTGCAAAAAAACATTTATGCTGTATGTTGTTCTATATTTAACAAGAAATATTTTATTTTACCAAACTGTTCATTATTTCTGTCCCCTGAGCTGTAGTTCTTAATATGTAATCACAACTACTAGTACACACAGACATTTGTGTGCGTACTAGTCGTTCATTCTCGACTCTCATCGTCGGGCCGTCATTCTCTAAGTGGCGACACATTTACACTCAATCTCATCAATCAATATCCTAAAAAGGCATTGTTGTTTATGATCAACAGTATTGATCAATGGGGAGGGTGGGGAAACCTTCTACATGTCATAGGCTTCCTGTCCCTGTGTCAAAGATATTACAGATGATGGCCCCTCAGGTAAACTACAGTAAATAACATTAAACGAGCTAAAAATACTTTTCAATCACTAAAATTATTGAAACATTTTCAAACTGCACCCAGAAAGCTTTGATTCATTCTCATCAATCCCAATGCACCCCACTCTCATCAATCCCCCAATACACCCATTCTCGTCAATCTCCCAATGCACCCCATTCTTGTCAGTCCCCCAATACACCCCATTCTCGTCAATCTCCCAATGCACCCATTCTCATCAATCCCCCAATGCAACCCATTCTTGTCAATCCCCCAATGCACCCCATTCTTGTCAATCCCCCAATACACCCCATTCTCGTCAGTCCCCTAATGCACCCACTCTCGTCAATCCTCCAATGCATTCATTCTCATCAATCTCCCAATGCACCCATTTTCATCAATCCCCCAATGCACCCATTCTCGTCAATCTCCCAATGCACCCATTCTCATCAATCCCTCAATGCACCCATTTTCATCAATCCCCCAATGCGCCCATTCTCATCAATCCCCAATGCACCCATTCTCATCAATCCCCCAATGCATTCATTATCATCAATCTCCCAATGCACCCATTTTCATCAATCCCCCAATGCACCCATTCTCGTCAGTCTCCCAATGCACCCATTCTCGTCAGTCTCCCAATGCACCCATTCTCGTCAATCTCCCAATGCACCCACTCTTGTCAATCCCCCAATGCACCCATTTTCATCAATCCCCAATGCATCCATTCTTATTTAACATTATTCACCTATTCTCTTATAAAAAATAAAAAGTTGGGAGGAAATACAAAGACTTCAAATGTCTTTCTTATCAGCTATTTCTGCACTTTAAAAACCTCTCAGTAATTGCTAAAAAAAAAATAGTTTCAATTCTCACTGTTAGTTTGACAAATTTGTGAAGGTAGTAACTAAATTATTGTAGGCATTAATAAAGAATTTTAAAATATAATTCTTCCACTGTACAAGCAATTTATGCCAAAATATTTTGCTACCTTGAGCAGCTAAGTATATTTTGCACACAATTTTACAAATCTGAAATATTTAACTACTATACAATAGGTATCCCCATTTGTTATAATAGTTTGGAGGACAAATTGGATTTATAACGATGCCAGTGAACACCAATATTTAACAAATGAAATGCAATGCATAAAACACACGTAGTTATCATAATCACCACACGCATACCTGCCAGACGTAAAAGCTGTTCCATTTGCAGCCCCGAAGGTGGATAGTGTGACTGCTAGAGGCATGAGGAAGGCTGCCCATCCTAGCACTCGATTGCCGAATGTCTAGCACAAGGAGGTTAATGGAATAATAAAGTGAAAAAAGAAGTCTAAGAGAGTTTCGAGTTTGATCACAAGCAAAGTAGCATTCCTGTGGCAATAAACCTACCATTATCTTAATCCAATGGCAATATGTTGCATTCTAAATGCTTTGGCAGGCATTCAGTAAAATTTTCCTTGCATGAAATAAAGCTTCAATGAGAATTCCAGGATAATGGTATGTTTATAGCCAAAGCATGTGAAAGGCTTAGTGCCAATTGGCATAGCCAGAATATTATTGGATTAAAGCATCAGAATAAACAAATAAGTTGAAAGTTTAGCAACTTGGTCAGCCCATCACTGTTGGAACAAACACAGTACAACAACCTTGGGACATGACGTTACTCAATCGGAAGCACACAACACCCCTGCAGAAAATGAAAAATATGGCAGAAAACTACTTTTCTGCATACGAATTACTAAAATATTTTATGTACAGTATAGTAATTATAATGAAGTACAGGTATTTAAATTTAAAGATGCATAGGAATTTGAAAAAAATGGAGTACTGAACAGAAATTGTAATTTTACCTATAACCCTTTTATACTGAAACGACTGCCTTTTACTATTACAGAAAACTTCATGGATATGTTACAAGAGCCTCAGTGAAAGCAAGGTCATGGGGTGAGGCCTTTAGAGGAGAATTAGGAAAAATATCTGCTAGTTCAAGACCCATGGTCTGCTACTAATGAGTAAGTGTACCAAGTTCCACTTGGACAACAGAACAAGTCCCCGTGGACTTGTGGTAAGACGCTCGCCTGGCTTTTCATGAGCACTTTGGCCTGGGTTCGTATCCTGGCTGGGGAGGATTTACTGAGCGCCAATCCTTAACTGTAGCCTCTGTTTATCCAACAGTAAAATGGGTATATGGTTGTTAAACGACTTGGCGGATCGTATTTTGGGAAATATTAGGATTAAGGACTTGCCCAAAACGCTATGCGTCCTAGTGGCTGTACAAGAATGTAAGAATTACATTCGTATATAAATAAATAAATAAAAAATAAAATAAAAAGTGGAACCTCATTTGGCGAGACTATTTACAGTACCTATTCCCATCAGTAACTTGTACGCTATGATCTTATCACCACCTAGCCTCCAGTTTTCTACGTTTTCTTTAGTTAACTTAGCC